ACTTTGACATGATATTTACATTTGTAGTGATAGGTTGGCCTAGATCTGCTCATGATGCACGTATTTTCAATAATACATTGGAAAAGTATAAAGATGCTCCCTCATCCTCCTAATGTTAATGACTTTATGTTTATTTTATAATATAATAACAAAGGCATATTTTTAATGAATTTTTAAATACATTTTCATTGTTTATTATTAATAACTCCTCTTATATATTTCAGGCAAATATTATCTTATTGATACTGGTTATCCAAATATAAAAGGATATTTGAAACCTTATAAGGGAGAAAGGTATCACATTCCTGATTTTAGACATGGAAGCCAACCAATGGGTTATCAAGAAGTATTCAACCATGTTCATACTTCTCTTAGAAATGTCATTGAACGATCAATTGGGTTTTGGAAAAATAGATTTGAGATAGTGTCCAATGTGCGAAATTATTCATTTAAAACACAACAAAAGATAGTAGCTGCAATTATTGCACTTCATAATTACATTAGGCAACAGGCAATTAAGGATAGAGAATATGATAGGTGTGATAGTGACTCAAATTATATTAGGCAACATGCAATTAAGGATAGAGAATTTGATAGGTGTGACAGTGATTCAAATTATACGCCAAAAGTGCCTAGAGATGAGACCATAAGTGAAAGAATTTTCCAAGATAATCTTAATTATATAATGGAGGATCATAATATGATTTCACTTAGAGATTCCATAGCTCTATTTTTAATGAAAAGTCAATTAAGATGATTGTTATTGTCAATTTTTATTTTTATTCTCTTATTTATAAATTTAAATGTAGCGTGCTTCTTTTTTAATAATAAAATATAAATATTTATTTATCTATTAATATTTAAATTATTAATTACTAGCATTTATATTTTATAAATATAAAAATTCCATTTGTTAACATCAATTTAAAATAATTAAATTAAAAATGAATTGAAATTCTATAAAAATGGCAAAAAAAAAAAACAGAAACAATGCTTTTTTAAAGAAAATGTTCTTTTTATTTTTAATGGAAAGTCAGTCAAGATAATTGTTATTATCAATTTTTATTTTTATTATCTTATTTATAAAATTTAAATGTAGTTTGTTATTTTTTTTCACAGTAAAATATAAGCATTTATTTCTCTATTAATATTAAAAATATATTAGTAGCATTTATTTTATAAATATAGAAATTCCATTTATAATCATCAACTTTAACATAATGAAATTAAAAATGGAATTAAAGTTCTATAAAAATATCAAAAAAAAAGAAATAATACTTTTTTAAACAAAATGTCATTTTTAGTCATTTCAAGATCAGAAGATCTCTTATAAAAAAAACTTATCAAAAAAATTTACCAAATAACTTTACATTTTAAAAGTTTCTCAACAAAAAATTTTACCAAACACTTTTAATTTCTTAAAAAAAGGACTTTCACAATAGATTCTTTAAAAAAAGACTTCCATTAAAAGTTTCAGGTACACCAAAAAGACCTTGTTATGTTAAATTGTGGTTAAATGTTAATTTTGGCCCCTTTACTTTAGTATTTTGTATATTTTTCACCTTTTAATTTTTTAAGTACTTTTTTAATTCCTTAACTATGAAAAATACATTTTTTTAATCCTTAACTACAAAAAATGTACTTTTTTATCCTTTTATTAGTTAGTCTGTTAAGTCTATTTATATATATGCATATTTTTAGTCCTTGAATTTTTAAGTTAAGGGAAGAAAAATGTACATATATTATAAATTAAAAAACTAAAAATATGCATATTTAAATAAACTTAAGAGATTAACTAACAAAAGAATTAAAAAAAAAGTGCATTTTTAGTAATTGAGGGACAAAAAAAGTGCATAAAAAGGTTGAGAGACAAAAAATGTAAAATACTAAAATTGAGGGACAAAAATTGGCATTTAACCTTAAATTTTAAACTAAATTTTTTGTTTTAAAAGTATATTTTAAACTCCCTCCTATTGTTGAACCAATGGAATATATTTTAGTACTAACGATCTCTTGGTTCGAGTGAAAGGAGTTCAGCTCTCCTTAAATAATAAGATTTTAAATTCGAATCTTGTGAATGGAGAAATAAGTACTTGGAGAGCTTTCCCCTTTATTGGGTCAACGTAGCTCGATTCTAAATTAATCTAGATCTAATGTAATTTTTGGATATCGGGAGATTAGTACAAAAAAAAAGGAGTATATTTTAGTAATTATATATAAATAAATTCTTTTTAAAAAGTAATTATCAAATCCTAATGTAGCTTCACAATACTACACAATTATTGTAAGCATATCTTATTCTTATGTTAATTATTATAATGTTATTAACTTTTTAAAAGAGGTTTAATGATATCTTTTTATTTAATAGACTTTTAATTCAATTCTAAAATAGTTATAATCCTTTATTCCCATTCACCTGTCAATATAACTAACTCTCAAGTAATTCATTTGTATAGTATATAAATAACTTAAAATTTTATTAATCAAATAATACTCCTCAAATAAGAACTATGTATTAAAATTTTTAATTGTAAAATATTGATTTACAAAATTTGGGTACAAATTATAAATTTAAGAAATGAAAAAGCTCTTTGATTTTAGCATGTGCTATCACCACTCATATGCATGATTGCCTAATTAACAATATGATCCTTTAATTAACATTTAAAATTGAAAGAAATGATTTAAGTTTGATCTTAATTTTCATAATGGAATTTTAAGAGAGTATGCAGATCTAGCATTCCTCTCCACTATTTAAGCTTCTTGAAATTAAAAACTTTTGAGTATAAATAGCACAATCATTAAATTAGTAGAGGAATGAGAACCAAGAACTCAAAATAGAAAAAAAAAAAGTTTTTCTATTAAAGTTTACAAGCTCTTTTTATATATAGAACTTGTACACCCAATCTTAACAACCTACCAAGAATCATAATAAGTGTCACTTAAAATTATAAATTCATTATAAAATAAGATTATTTGTATATCTTTTTCTCTAATAATTTGTGGACACCCTATAACTAGTCTAACTATCCAACCCTTAAAAAAAATGTCAAAATTTCATAGCTTTGTTTTTATATTTCGACCAAGAGTGGGAGAGTGGAGAGTGAGGAAAGATACAAAATGAAATATGATCACTTTATAAATGAGATTTCGACAATATTAATAAATGGAGATAGTTTATGACTTAATAGTATTGAAATAATTTAGGGATTAAGCAACAATTGACAATCCAAAACTCTTAAAATTTCAATTGTATAAAGGTCCAAGGTTGAAATTACCTATTACTAGCTGTTGGAAACACTGTTAGATATTTGAAATTTAAAAGAGTAGTTAATACTTGGTTAAACTCCTAAATATGCCCCTCAAGTAGAGGACATGAACAAATTCTCCCTCGAATTAAATATAAGGAGAAATTGCCCCACCAATTAATTAAGTTCGACAAATGACCCCAAATTTAGATACTATCATCATATGACATTAGCTCTTCATTACTTTCTTGCTTACATGGCCTTTTTATTAACATTGGTTGTATTGAAAAGTTAATCTCATATTAAGTTAGCAATTAAATTTAAGGTGATTTGTCCAATTCAATTAAATAATAAGATGATTTGTTCTTATGTTTAGTTTGAGAGTTGATCAATCCTTACCCTTACACCTGGCAAGTAGATTTCGACCCCTTTACTTTCTTGTCATGAGTCAATTCTTGAACCAAGATCCAATTTTATATTTTAAGAATCAAATTTCCATTCTAAGATGCTTATATTAACCTAATAAAAATCAAATCCTGAAATTGAGAAACATGTTGCCTTTGCACCTTATTATTTCCTTGCTCTCTGATTCCAAGAATATCTTCTTCTTTCATGGCTTCTAGATGTTTACACTCCAAGAGTAGGACGTCAAATGAGAGAATCAATTCTAATGATTTCTAGCATTTTTTAGTTGATTGTCTTCAATAACCAAATGTTAGAATAAAGAAAATGATTTTAACTGATGATAATAAAAAAAAATTAAATTAAATGTTGAGATAGAGAGTCGGATCTTTATCAATTTTCTACATTTTTCATTTTTTTAGCTTTAAATCATTATATCTTTTTCATATGATATCTAATTTGAGCATTCTTATACTCATTTGGAAAGATTGAGATCTTTATTTTCACATGAGCTAACTCAATTTTTTGCAATTTGCATATCTTCACTTCAAATCATCATATTTTTTTCAAATGATGTCTGATCTAAGCATTCTTGTAGTTATTGGAAAGCTTAAGATCTCTATTTTCATATGAGCTCACTCTTAAACCTAAACTTCCAATGTAGTCATACTCTTAAATGAATAAGTGGAGATCATTATTACAATGTATGGAGACTTTATTTTTTTACGCTTTTTCGTTAAAATTCATTCATTTACTTTTTCACACTTATACAAAACTCATTGTGTCTTTTTAATAATTTTATTACCATCAAAATTATCTAGAAATACAATACTAACAAGCCCAATTCCACTGCTATTTTTTTTAGCATCCAACCAAACAAATTTAGACATTGGATGAGCTAATTACACCATTAGGCTCACTCCTTTGTTATTAGTCATAAGAACTTTAGCCTAAATAGAACAATTTACACATTAGTTTTTTGCTTCAAATATACTACTAAACAAAACTACATAAGAACTTTACTCCAACTTGATAAACTGCAAATCAATGTTCTGTTTTAAATGTACTACTAAACAAAACTATTCCAACCTCCATTACCTGGCGTAAAAACTTTAGTCCAAATAGCACGAATTTACTACCAAACAAAAATATTCCCAATGGATATATGTTGATAATTGTCATTGGCCACTGAACAATGACCCGACCCGATTATTTGTCCAGTTTAAAAGAGAGAGGGAGAGCTGACAACAATTTTTCGTCTCGGGTCCTGACGTGTACTCCACGCGCCGCGGCGACGTTCCAGCACTAGTCTCCTCACCACCCTCCTCGTGCTTATTACGCGCTACCTTCAAGCGTAATTCTGTGTCCTCTCCTCACTGAATAAAATCTCTACCACCTGAAAGCCGTACTCCCGAAGCAATGAGACACTTTCTTCTTCCGCCCCCGCCGGCTCCCTCCAAATCCTCCACCGTTCTTCTCTCTCTGCTGAAACCGCACAGTCTGGTTCTCTCAAAAGTCGCCATTTAAGCTTGTAAGTGTTTTTTTTTGGGTTAAAAATCTTTAAAGTTGCCTCCATTTTGTCGCCGGAACCCTAAATGTTGCTTTCGTTGCTTCTGATCGGAGTTCAGAACCTCCGGTTTCTAAACATTTCCTGGATTGCTACTATGTCTAAGTGTAGTACTGTTCTTGTTTCACCATTGTACCTCGTTTTTTATCTGATTTCTCGGTTTAGGTTCCGTTTGGCTGCCGAGAAAATGTAATGTAATGTGTAAAATATTTAATCTCATCGGAACCAACTACTGAGTTTACGGACTAAGTCACTAAAGTCATCGTAGCGTTACTCTATTTTGATACTTTGTTACTCATTTAAGGTTTTTTTTTTTTCTTTCTTTCTTTTTTTAACCAAGGTTGGGGTTACTATATTTGAAGTATATGAACGAAAGAGTATGTGTTTATATTAAATTATTGAAATAAGTATTGATGATTTTCATCTTTTGGAACTTCATTTAAGATCTTAGTTCAAGTTTTCATTTTTAAGAATAATTTTTTTCCGTTATGGTTGAGTTGAAGTTTGTAATTTTTTGTAAGAAATTCTGGGAAAGACATGTTTTTATTTGGTGACCAGTTCTAATCTTAATGTGTGTGATTTCTATTTTACTTTTCTGTTTTGGTTGGTTCTCTTCATTTAAAGTACAGAAAGGGATTAATATATTCAAGTATTGAAATATAGTTTATAAATGAAAGGGACTGATAAAATGTTAGGAAGTTAAGATTAGAAGGACAAATATCTTCTCTGAGAATTGCAACATATCTTATTCTTGGACATTGTTCCCCTGGGGGTTGAGTAACAGAACAGCACAAGTGCAGCACTTGGTTGAGGTGCTTGATGCTAGTCCACATCTCCATTTGTTTTAGAAGCTATGGATTGCACAGCTGCATTTTTAAATTGCTTTCGGTATAATTTACTTTCTGTTTATATGCCTACTTTCTAAATTTACTTCTGATATTATGAACTACTTACACTTAACTTTCTACTTATTCTTGAACCAAATGTGCTTGGACTTCACTGTTTCTAGGAATCTGTAATATTATTTTAACGTGGGAATATCTATTCTAGGTACATTTATTTTCACAACCCTGCGCAACAGACGGGTAAGCAATCATGGCACCAAATGCCAAAGTTGCACAGGCTTACCGTGCAATGAGAGAGCTTGGAATTATTGAGAAAACAGTGAAACCAGTTTTGAAGAAACTTCTGAAGCTGTATGAGAAGAATTGGGAGCTGATAGAGGCAGAAAATTATAGAGCTCTTGTTGATGCTATCTTTGAAGAGGAAGATGCTAAGGTTTATATATTTCAATTTTATCCATTATGAATTAGTTTTTCATGTCTCTTGTAATTTTGTTCATTTTTGTTCTTCTTTCTTTATCCCTTTATGTTTATTTCCTGTTGTTTAGCAGGTGTCAGACAAGAAGAAATGCAACAATGCAGTTGTATGTCACTTATCCTCTTACTTGCACTAATGCTGCATATTCTTATCCTCTTACTTGCACTAATGCTGCATATTCTTGTTGTTCCTTTTCTTATCTTCTAGCTGTATCAAATGACATGCCTTTTTCCTTTAACAACTAGCAGGAAGAGGAATTTGATGAAGATGATTCAGGTCAACTTCAACGTCCTTTAAAACGAATTCGCTTGAGGGGCCAAGAAGGTCAAGGTTCATCATATCCCAGTGACTGTGGGACCAGGTCAGATGGAGATTTGGTAAAAAAGCCTAAAGAGGAGCCGGAAGAAGTACTACCTTCACCTCCTTTGCTGCAGCAAGCTTCGCCAGGTAATCATGCTGCTACTACAAACATAAACAAGCAACCTGTGTCACCTAGGCCTCTGCTGCTGGAACGATCTGAGCCTGTTCAACCTTCTCCAACAAGGAGAAGCGAATCAAATTTACTTTCTTCTCAAAGGCATCTTGGGTACAAAGGGAAGGAACCTATGTCATCTCATGTCACTTCACATGAGAAAGAACGTGTGCCTGTTAGAGCATCTAATGCATTCTGCATTAGAGATCCAGCATCTGAGCCAGGCATTTTGCATAAGAAAATTGTGCCTGATGCCCTGATTGTCCCCAAAGAAGAGCCTCTTACTGATGAAATTCCACAATATGAGGTTCCTATTGCAGTTATTCACCCAGGTAATAGTTCAATTCACTATTTGGTTACTGTTGCATGTGAAATAAATGCTTGATATCTAGACCATGAAGGCAAGCTTTATGCTGCTTGAATAGTTGATTTAGTAGTTCTTGTTTCAGGTTTGACTTGATTTTGTAAATATATCTTAACTATAAAAAATGAGAACCATCTCTTGTGTTGTGTTATAGGGATGTATGCTTTTGTTATATACTAATGAATTTTGCACATTACTGCTGCTTATGCCTTTTTTTGGCTTTACCATGGCATTTCCTCAAGCATTTTTCATTGATTTATGTAATAATTAGGAGCAATGTTGTAAAAAACTTGTATTAATTGTTTCGATTCTTTTCAGCAATTTCACATTGAAGTTCCATTTGGAGAAATGATACTATTATCAACTTGTGTTTACACATTTACATGCACAATAAGAACACTCTAGCTCCGCCCCTGGTCATATCTACATAAGACTTTAATGTATTTATGGCATTCATCCTTCCAACGTTTTCATTTTAGAGTTATGTCTTGATTAAACACTGTACTGGTTTCTTGATTACTGTTTTGAACAATTACACGAGAAGTTTGTATCCTGAAAGCCATAATTCATTTTCTATGGTGGTTAAATTTTTTTCTGATTGTTTGGCTTCTATTTTATTTGTGACTTGTGAGTTCTATATGTCCTCAATGCAGCTTGTTAGTGCATAACTGTATATATTGAAATTATGTAGAATTTTATGAAGAATGATATTTGTACCACCACCATCTAAGAAGCAAGAATAAGCAGCCAACCAACATCTTAAGCCATCATACATAGGCAAATGCATCCATTGTTGGAAGTTACTTTTGCAATTAATGTTCGATAATCAGCTATAATTTATGGTTCCATTGTTGGGAGAAAGAATATGTGGATGAACATTTGTGAATATCAATTGAGATGTCTCTTCCATTACTCAAATTATAGATTTTATTCTTTAGCTAACACTGAATTTTAAAATTAACAACCTTGTTTTTCTTATGTTGCTTTTCTAAATGCCTTTTTAGATTCATTAGGTCAAGAGGATTCTGCTGTAGGAAATATTGTTTCAAATGGAAAATCAGATCGTCAGGAATCGCCAGCTTCCCCACAGGTAGATGAAAATACATGTGATGTTCTTCCACCTTTGTCAAGTGAGAGAAAAACCATCTCTGAGCTTGCCACCTTTGCCGATGAGTTTTCTCCTTGCTTAGAGATAGCTTCCTCACCCATGGGAGAGGTGAAGATTTCTCTTAGCTGCAACTCTGCCCTTGGAGGGCCAAATTTCCATGTGCCTACTCTAGATGAACTAAGAGAATCCATGGAGAAAAAGTGTCTAAGATCATATAAAATCATTGACCCAAATTTTTCTGTCATGAAACTGATGCAAGATATGTGTGAATGCTTCTTGGAACTGGCAACTAATTCCTCTAATGAATCGCAGGAAAGGTTATTGAATGCTATGCCAGCTCTTGATCTAATGAAAAAATCCACTGAAATGAATGGTCTTGGTATGGGGTGCAATAAAGACAGTAGCATGCCATCTCGGACATCAAGTGGATCAGTCAATGTCTACTGCTCTGAAAATGGAGATGTTAACAATGGTGATGGAAAGGGATTGGTGGTTATTCCACAGAATCAACTTAGTGCTGATGAATTGAGGTGGATTTACAATGTCAATGACATATCCAAGGGGGAAGAAAGAGTTGGAATTTCATGGGTGAATGAAATCAATAAAGATTATCCACTGAATTTTCACTATATATCACAGAACCTGGTATTTCAAAATGCTCGTGTTAATATCTCTCTTTCTCGGGTTGGAGAGGGAAGTTATTGTCCAACATGCTTTGATAATTGCCTGTCATCTCCTACATCTTGTTCATGTGCTTCTCAAGCTGATGGAGTGTTTGCATACACTTTGGAAGGCACCATTAAGAAAGAATTCTTAGAGCAGTGCATAGCCATAACCCGTGATCCTCAACAGCAATACCTCCTTAGTTGTAGAGATTGCCCCCTTGAGAGATCAAAGAAGGATTCTATTTTGGAACCTTGCAAGGGTCACTTGAAGAGAAAGATTATCAAGGAGTGCTGGAGCAAGTGCGGCTGCCATAAGCAGTGTGGAAACCGAGTTGTGCAGAGAGGCATAAATTACAAATTGCAGGTTTGGATTTTTTATTTATCCCTGTCTTGTCAGAACGTTTTCTTCCTAGTCAATATTTGAATTTTGGTGATGTTGTATTTGGGTAGCTTCTTCAGTTAAGGTATTTCTGACTTAATAATAAAGTTTGAACCTATAATTTATCTTTGTAACTTTTCTTTCTTTAATGGCTTATGTTCCCTTGATATTAGGTATTTTTGACATCTGATGGAAAAGGTTGGGGGCTTAGAACTCTAGACAAGCTGCCAAAAGGAGCATTTGTTTGTGAATTTGTTGGAGAAGTGCTAACAGTTTCTGAGTTCTATTCAAGGAAAACTGTGAAGCATACCTGTCCAGTTCTACTGGATGCATATTGGGGACTGAAAGGAGCTCTGGAGGATGAGGAAGCTCTGTGTTTGGATGCAACATTTTATGGAAATGCTGCTAGGTTCATCAATCATAGGTAGCCGCTTATACATTTATCATATATTGGACCATCTTTGAGCATCATTTTTCCTATTTTTCTTTTATTTAGACTTGTATAGATATGTAACATGAATAAAGGAGACTAGAATTAACTTATTGCTATTACGGACGTTTTGTGTCAATTTTTGTTATAGATTGTCAAGATGAATTGAGATGTAATCCCGTGCATTTAATTATGTTTGATTCAAATATTTAAAAGTGTGGATTTATCATGGAGTTTTGAGATTTCTTTGTAATGGAAAATCAAGTACCTCAAAAGAAATCAGGGAAATATTAAAAAGGAATGACATCGTCTTCTACATGACTATAATTTCATTGTAATTTGTTGAAGTTCAAGGCATTGAATTACTTTTTCACATGATTAACACTTGATAGGGAAATTCTTTAGTTATGTTTTTTCCCAAGAATTGTATCTTGAAGAATGAAGGTAAAGTTTTCTGACTTAAGGTAATGTACTAATGGTTTAGGTCTGTGTATTGGATTGAGACTAAGCATTCTTGTTGAAGGCTAGTATCCTAAAATTCTTCAAAATGTCACAGTTGAATGGAAAAATTTTAGTGATATGAGAACGTATGATAAATCTATCCAAATAGTTTTGCATTTTAATGTGTTGTGATGCATACTGACTTCTTTACATATTTAGACATTTCTTCAAAGAATACCATCCAAGCCTTTTTTGTCCTCTTATTTCATCATTAATTTACACTTATAATTAACATGCATTGACATGCATGAAGACACTAATATGATGAAATCGTAAGGCTAAAAAGCAGCAATGGTGAAGATATCTATAGAATTTTGAAGCAGCAATTGTGTAATATCTTGATTAACTGTTGAAAAGCACAAAAACATGATTTCATGGAAGTTGATATGGTGGGATATGTTCCATGAAGTATCTAAAGAAATATCTGAGTATCTCAGATGCATTTAGATTCTTGTATATCTGATCTTTTTGTTTGTTTTGTTGCTAGATGTTTAGATGCAAACTTAATTGAGATTCCTGTGGAGGTGGAAACACCAGAGCATCATTACTATCACGTATGAAATTCTTTTCAGCTCCATCTCTATTTTGAATGCCTACTGTCTTTAAAACTTAGCCAATGCAAGTCTAATAGAGTTTTGACTGTCATGCAGCTAGCCTTCTTCACAACAAGAGAAATTGATGCAATGGAAGAGCTTACCTGGGTGCGTAAACATCTTAATTCATTTAAATGTTTGAAGCTTGTCGATGTTAGTTGAGTTTAATGACTGGGGGGCTAGGGACACAGATTGTTGTTTTTGCTCTGGAGAACTATAGGTTTATTATTTTGGTAAAACGAAAAGTTGGTCCATATTATTATTGAGTAAAATACACCAGAAGCCTTCAAGGATACATTGAATCTTCACATAACCACTCAAAACTTAAATGTGCAAGAAGGGTTCTCAAAGTTCAAATACCATGCAATGTTCTTTGGCCATTTTTATTGTGTTTTGTCTAATTTATTACAAAAAATTTAGTTCTTTTGGCCATTTTTATTGTGTAATATAACTCTATTTCAATATGTGTTATAGTTGATAATAATACTTGGTTGAAAAATATCTTTATGTGCTAATTTTACTCGAATGAAACTTTGAGGATTTTTCTCCCTAATTTTGATACATCTTCCTCTATTATCATATAGAGGAAGGAAGGGTTCAAGTAGTATTGTCAGCCTGTGCCAAACCATGCATGGTGAGAGTAAACATTCCATCTTTTCTGTTTTCATTGATGGATGCATCAGATGAAGCCCTTTGCACAGCATAAATTTGTCTGCCTAACTTCTCCTATTCTGTTCCTGTGAGTTTTAGCATGGGTGTACACATTTATTTACAAAGCTACATTATGCTCTCTTAAATATAAAAGCATTTGTTTATTTTATGTCTGGTCCTTTCCCTTTTACCTTTTCGCTTATCAGAATTGTGTGTGGTCTGCATGAACAAGTTTAATGCTAGTCCATGCTTATGGCAATACTATTTAGAACTAGTCCATGTTTATGGCAATACTGTTTAGAAGTAGTCCATGTTTATGGCAATCCCGTTTCCATAATTAAGAAGCTGTACATAATGTTCGCAGGACTATGGAATTGACTTTGATGATGATGATCATCCTGTGAAGGCATTCCGCTGCAAGTGTGGCAGTAAATTTTGTAGGAACATGAAACGTTCTACCAGTAAGCATTTCTGGCAATTGAAAAAAAAAAATACAAAACTAGAATATATATGTTCTTATATGATATACAGTAGCAAGATGGGATCTTAAGTTTTTCCCCTTGGTATATGTCAATTAGCATCTTTGAGTTAAAATAGCCTGTGTTGATTGATTTGATTGAGAGTGAACTTATGTACGTATGTCTTGCTGACTTTCTAGGTTGCCCTAAAGAATATTCAGGGAATTCTGCCACCTTCATATTAGTTGAGTCATGGTGAATCCCAATTTAGTTGGTTGGCAGTAATTCAATAATTTAATTTGCCTTATTTCCATTCTGTAATAGTCTAATTCTTTTGGTCTAAAATTCTATTACTCACTAAATTCAAGCTGAATTTCATAAGGACTAATTTGTTTATTTTTTCAGTAGGGATGAAACAGCTTGCATAATCACTAAAAGTTCTAGTTATTTTTCATTCACCTCTATCCAATGTGTTTGTTAAATTTTAATTCTCTAATTTCAAGCAGCACATTAAATGAAATAGTGGCATCTGATCCTCCATTGCTCCTTGATGATGGGGGGTTTTTGGGTTACTTCTTACCTGTTCTTTTAATAACTGCTTCTAAAGATCATTCTTCCATGGTACAGGATCAAAATCTACTATGATTTCAGGATGAACTGATTGCAGAGATCATTACAATTTTGGCTTTTGTTGTCTGACAGCTATTTGTCAATTCGGCTGCTTGGAGTTCATATAGACCACTTATATTTGGAGTTACTCTAGCGCAATTGATGTTGCTACTTGACACAGGTGGCTTCGGCTAATTGTAGCATTTTGGCATGCCTTAGTTTCTCCCTTCTCAGTTGACATGAAAAAATTCTGCACTCTGTCATCATTGCTAGGAGTAGGTAGCAAGTTGGGTAAATATTGGCAATGTTGTTTTAGGGATGTACAGCTTCAAAGACTTTGGAAAGTTTACATGAAAGGCAATTTTTTGGTTCATTTTCTTGAAGATTTTATTTATTCATTTATCTGGTACATCAAATGGGTTAATGGGCCATATAATAAAAAATAATCCTTTTCTTCCTTTAATTCTTTTCTAGCTTAAGATTTAAACTTAAAATCACTAATTTAAAGTCTCAATCTTCTAAACTAATCACCAGAGACACATCAGTGAGTGCTCGAAGGGTATATGCTACTTTTGTAATGTTGATATTGATCATTTCAAATTGATCACCCCAGTGGTTTGGTTAGCTAATCACGTCCAATGGTAATAATCAACTATTAAACAGGACTTCCAGCCCAACCCTAACCCTAACGTGGGTGGAAAGATGAAGTACATACTAAACATTCGAGAAACTGCTTGAGTTGCGGATCTTCCCCTTCTAAATTCTCACTTCTGGTAAATTTGGAATTTTACATGCTAATAAATATATATACACATTTCAGGTTATGGTTCATATTATCTGCAATGAGTTCTAGGTGCTAATTTATGCAGCAAATACTGGCAAGCTTTTATCTGCTGATGCCATTGAACCCCTGTTGTGAGGTCTCGTGAGTGCTTCGTGCTCGCAGCCAGAGGGCATGACCGGCCGTATACAGCCAGGATTTAATGGGAAAAGCATTCGGAAGTAACCATCCATAGTTGCTTCAAGATTGCAAGTCATCGCCACCTTTGGAATCTATACAGAAATTAAATTGTATCATTTAGCAAACTGCAGAACATAACTGGATAGCATAGAAAATGTACATGAAATCATCGATCAGATGCTAAAATACAACTGTTTGGTTTAAAGAGCATATAAAAAATGACTATAACGAAGAAAAGCACATACACCAGGATGCAAAGAAAATGTGAAATATCATTTCATCAAGAGTTCTGGCCTATGTTGAAAGAGAAGAAACGAAGTTCAGGATGACTGAAATTGCCTCTCAATCTAAAGTCACCGAATTGTTTTGTGTTTGGCACTGAGTTCCTGATTTTATCTAAAACTTTTAATGCTTAGACATTGGAGAAGGATGATAATCAAAGTCATCCACCTAATGGCCTCTAAACCACAAGGGATGTGAAAAATGATTGCAAAATTATTTTACGAAACTTGTAAAGACATTAGTTTACATTTTCTAATATTACCTCATTATCTTAGACCACAGAACATGCTAACAACAAATACATATGGACCTCATAAAGTATGATTCTGTTCACCATAAATGATCTGAACAAATGATAAGAGCAGCAAAGTAGTTATTACCTGATAAATATCCCTCATATAACCATGTAGATTTGGATATTCAACTATCTTCTTCTTCATGCATTTGAACATAACATTATACACAATGTCGAACCTAATCAATGTGGTAAACAAGCAAACATCCGCAAGAGTCAGCTCATCTCCACATAAGTACCGTGAACTGCCCAAGTGATCCTCAATTTTGTCCAATATACTGAACAAATCATTCACCGCTGCATCATAAGCCTCTTGACTTTGAGCAAATCCACACCTGCAAAATTAAAGATCATCCCACTCATAACTGCAACTCTAATCGTTTTGTGTTCACTGCAATGCAGAAAGGGCTAGCACTGTGATGGCCCTCCGACAATTCTAATCACCTTGTATATTTTCATTCCTCTAAATCCTCCCCAGTCAACTAGTTTTATGTTTTTATCAATATCAAGTTGAAAATGCCATAGGATTAAAATCACCTTAATAAGCTTCTTTAGTGATATCCGAAAACCAGATTATCCAAAGCTAATTATTTTCACAATTCACAAATATATAATCTTACAATACTTCTGAATTCTGTACGCAAAATCTCTAAAAATATTGAAAAGAAACACAACATAAACTGTGAAAACAAAAGGAGGATTACCTATAAACCCCATTATTCACATTGGGGTAGATCAACCTATTCCACTCCTCAATTTTCCCCTTCAATTCCACCGGTGAGAGATCCAAACCTGGATTCTGAGCAAAACTGTTCAGACCAGAGTTGAAGAACTCAATAATATCATAACTTTCATTGCATACCACCTCCTTCCTCTCCACATCCCACAGCATTGGCACCGTGGCACGCCCATTATACCCGCCCCTTCTCAGACCATAAACCTCTTTCAGTCTCCTACACCCATTAACTCTATCCCTTCCTGGGACGAGAACATCATTGCCCTGGACCTGAACGTCTTTGAATTCCCATGCACCGTCTTGGCCGGGTAATGCGATGGAGACAGGGATGGTTTCTTCGAGACCCTTAAGGGCCCGGACTATGAGGGTCCGGTGAGCCCAGGGACAGGGAAGACCCACGTAGAGGTGGAGATTGGTGGCGGTCGGATTTTGACTGGAGAGGCGGAACTTGGAGGGCGGTCTAGTATAGCCACCGGAAGAATCAGAGGGTGCGAGCTGGGACATCATAATCTGCCACGCAGAGTTCCATCCCGTTCGGACGGTGGATATGAGAAGCCCCGGCGGGAGGGATGCACCCCAGAGGACCTTACCGATGGCTTTGATGAGATTATCACCGCCACTGCTGAAATTACTGTCGCTGTTATTATTGAGGGACATTCTAGGACTGACGCGGCATGTAAATTTCCCGGTGGCTTTCGGCGACGGAGGCATCCATCGGAGGTGGGAGCTGATGGGTGAAGAAATGCTGCAGCTCATAGCTCTGCTTGCTTCTGTCTCCACTAGGCACAAATGATAAGGGACATATTTGTAATTTACTGCGATTCTTATACTACGAGTGAAACGCTGCGCTTCAGTGGGTAGGGACATATTAGTAATTTGATGAAGTTTTGGAGCTTAGAGTGAAAACGCTCCGTTTTAACTGATCTTTAACGCGAAAGGGTTAAGGAAAACCCCGTAACCAAACACTCCAAAACTTCCCCTCCAGAAAACCCTAGTAGAAAGAGCATATAAAACGAAACGCATTGTCTCCTCGCAGAAGAAGCGTCGCCGAGACAGAGTAGGACTTGATCGGAGCTAATCGAAAATGTCGAAGCGAGGTGGGATTTTCCGACTGAGGAACCAAACAAGCACTATCAGATTGAAACGGTGGTTGTAAATAATGGACTTGATTTGTTTGTTGAACAGGAAGGGGAGGTACTGCGGGGAACAAGTTCAGGATGTCGCTAGGTCTGCCGGTGGCGGCGACAGTGAACTGCGCCGACAACACTGGGGCCAAGAACCTTTACATCATTTCGGTGAAAGGCATCAAGGGGCGTCTCAACAGGCTGCCTTCAGCTTGCGTCGGCGACATGGTCATGGCTACCGTGAAGAAGGGAAAGCCTGATCTGAGGAAGAAGGTCCTTCCTGCCGTCATCGTCCGCCAGCGCAAGCCATGGCGCCGAAAGGACGGCGTCTACATGTACTTCGAAGGTCTGCTACTACCATCTAAATTGCACTCATTTTATTTCTCTGCTATGATCAGTTTGTTGTGAGTTGCTTCTTTGTTGATAATGGGGTGGCTGTTTGTTTAATAGTCACTCTTTCCCTCTTCATTAGAAGCATAGAGTGATAGAAAAACAGCATGATGTTATTGTTCTCAATCGCATTATGGTACTTATCTCCTGGTATATACCCTCTTGTTAGTGCTGTTTGTTCTAGTGTTTTAGATAGTTGAATTTTCTGTATGCCTTCACTTTCTAACAACTTGCTTTGTTTGTATGCAGATAATGCTGGTGTGATTGTCAATCCAAAGGGAGAAATGAAAGGTACTGCATGATAACATCTATAAAATTTCTAATTTTAGAATGACATCGGATCTATTTTTTGTTTTTGGTTTGATTGTAGTTATACGTTTTCTTGAAATTAGGTTCTGGAGTTCAGTTTCATTTTTATGGTTATGTAGTTAGAATGAATTCCATTGACTGCAAAAGAATTATCGTTTGTGGGCATGCCTTTGCAGTGACACTTCTGTTATCTTAACTCTTTCTTCACAAACCCGTTTTGCATGCAGAATATGAATGCTAGTGGTTTGAATATTTAGTTTCTTGGTTTGGTTTTTGATGTTTTGATGTCTTTTCCGTTTAACTTATTTACTCTAGTGTGTTTGGCTGGAATTTGGAGTCTGCGACTCACTCTTGATTTGCTGGATTTCTTTTTATAGGGTCTGCCATTACTGGTCCCATAGGAAAGGAGTGTGCTGATCTGTGGCCAAGAATTGCAAGTGCTGCCAATGCTATTGTCTGAGAGGAGTTTTCTTGTGGTCTTGTCTGGTGACTATATCTCTTATGTTGCCATATGAATTGTTATTTTGATATTTTCTATGCGAGGATTTTATCACTTTGTTCAGACATAATTAGATTTGCTAATTGAGAATGACATCAATGCGATTTTTAGGTTTCTAAATGTCTTTGAGCCTATTGTAAGATTTTCTTGTTCTCTAGTTTTTCTGTCTCCTATTAATTTCTACTTGTTTGCAATATAGGTTGTGGACTTTGGCAGTTGATGTTGTGGTATGGTTTCTTTTTGTTTTTGTGTACATCACTTATGTGCCAAATATGATTAATGTTCTACTTTTAATGTACCAGTATTTTTTCTTGCACAAACACCATATATTTCTTAGTGGCTGTTATCATATCTCTGTTTCAAGTTGGATGCATGCATATCCCTTCGTCTGTTATGAGACAGCTCCATGCACTGATCTCTTGTATGTTCTATGCATGATACATGGCTCAATGAATTGGTGAGATGTAAAAAGAAATGATTCATCATATTACTATTTATGGATGCTCCGAGAATTCAATTAGGTATCGAATTATTTAAGATTTCAGGGACTTGGGATAATCATAAAAATAGTCATTTGTCCTTCAACATCTGTTTCCAGCCTTTCTGATCCTCGTCCTCGAAGGAAGCAAATGTCACTGCAGATCGCAGATTGGTTAGCGACATATTTTGACCATCCACCTATGCGTTTTTAGGGTATTCGCAAACATTGTTCATATACTCCCAATATTACTAAGTTATTATATAGAGTAGTAATAAATTGTTATTAAAATACTACTAAATCATACTAATATACATTAAAATTAGTACATGATCTAAATAAGTAAACAAAATTTTCAATTTAAAGATTGATTTTCTTGACAGATCTTCCAGAAAAAGTTTAAAGGGATGACATGCACTTGTTATTCTTAAAATCTTATAAGTCACATCTGGTGGTAAAAATTAAAACAAAAGCGTGCCAACGACGACTTTTTCCTTTCATTCGGTTTTTCCTTATGAAATGGGGCTATTGGGACAACATCATCTGAAATAAAATGCACTAGAATTAAAAGATCAGTAGAAATGATGGATTAATTCCTACACAGTGAGTTCAAAATTGCCTTAGAAGTATATCAAAGACTTTGATTATGGTAAACAAAAATAATTAAATTAAAGTGCTAGAAAGTGAATAAGCTAAAAACAAGTGTTAGAAATTGATAAATAAAAATGTAGTAAATAAGGATAGACAGAAACGTAAACAGTAAGTAGACATCATAAACTAATAGAAATTTAGAAAATGTAGAAGCTAAAGATCAACCAAACAGTAAATTGCAATAAAAATGTAAAGAGACTCAAGTCTAATGGAAATAGTAGCCATATTTGCATTTAAATCAAAATGCTGAATAATTGAGAATTTAAGTAGAAATAAACAACAAAATGAGATTAATGTCACGGACTAAATTTATCAAAATTAAATTAACAATGAAAGAAATCCTCTAGAGATTGTTGTTTTACTCCTAGTGGACTACCAATTCACAGATAAATTGCTGAAAAATAACCTTGAATTAAGGAATTACTAAGTAGACTAAAATAGAATTAGGACATACTTTGTGTAGAACAATGAATTCTGAAAAATAAATTAACTTGTGTGTGAAACACAAAAATATTGAAACTAAAAAATATGTTAAAAACTTGTGTTTAAAGTCCACTATAACTACATCCACTTAGCAAAGTTTAGATCTTGATCCTCTACATCATCCA